ACCGAACATATAGCAATACATCCCAACACAGAAAATGGTTCAAGTCAATTTATTAGGCATCATAACAAGTCAAGTACTATTGCAAATCATAAAACAGAATATTTCAAGACCTCTAAGAAGTAACTTGTGGTTGTTATTGAGGCCCCTTTCAAGTTTAACACAATATTAGATTAAATCACAAAAGAAATAAAATGATAAGGGTTATGAAATGAAGTTCAAAATCAAATTAATGAATGAATCGGTAGATACATTTTGAAAACCCCAGAGTGGCTTTGCTTGTTCATGTACATACATTATTTTGTACACCCTGTACTGAGAGACAGAAGAACAAACATTTCCCTAATATATATATTCACCTTGAAGAAATCAATTTTTATTTTGACGTAAGACAATCTGAAATATGAATACAATGGAAAAAAGGCGGAAACATATTAATTCTGTTAAAGAAAAACATTATTTCACTTCTTCTTTTTTACCCCAGTGGGGGTAAAAAGGAAAACATCACCAAGAGAATGGAGCATGAACTTGCTCTTAAATTATGAACAGATTCCCCATAAGAAACAAGTAATCTTAATTGTTTGCATAACATTACTCCAAATGAAAGCAAATTTTATGATGGCTTTAAAAATGCATCCAAATTCCAAAACATGTTTTTTTTTTTAGTCAACCTGCTCCAGACTTTGTTTTTCACTTTTAAATGATCCTCCATCTCCCATTTGGGTCATTTGAGTATCTAATGAGCATTGTGTTAACATGTACTTGATTTGACTGATAATAGGATGTCACTACCTGCTTGTTAACATAATAGTTAGATCTGTGATCGTGGTTTAATTCTCATGTGGGTTTTAAATAAGTGAACGAGGGAGTTTGAATGTGTGATGATTGGGAAAGAGAGAGAGGAGAGGGAGATTATATGATTTGTATTATGTTGATGGTAATAATGATGGTGGTAGTGGTGGAGATTATGATGGAATGTGATGAGGTCGATGGTGATGATAATGATGGAAGGTGATGATGACAGACAGCACATTTTAAAATTTAAAACGTGCGACTAGTATTTCCCACAAAACTGTATATTTTAGAAATGTATCATTATCAATTCAGAGGGAATCCAACCAGACCTCAGCTTTGTAACTTTCAAAAGACCTTCAGAAAAATGATCCTGAAATAGATCCCTTGATTGCTAGGTGTGATTATGAGAATAAAAGATTTAGGAATATTGATCAGACATTGTGTTGCTTTCATTCAACATCTACACATGTAACAATTCATGTACAGTACATGTAGGTCAGATACAGTGGTTCATGTAGCAGAAAGATGGGAAGAGGGGTTTCTCAGTGCAGGTGGTTTTCATCTGCATGTTAATCTTGATTCCAATCAGAAACACTGTTCTGGGACAACACAAAAATACAAAAATACAGTTGAACATGCTTTAGCAACCACCTGTATAGAAATACCACCTGTCTATTGAGACTTTTTTTGTTTCATTTGATATTGGTTCAGTCATACATATTGAAACATGTAAATAAAAGATGTGAAGGTGTATAATTACTGCCCTTTTTCCATCTTCACTTGAAATATTTTGTGTGAAAAGTATGTAAAAAATATACTGTTTTCCTGATTTTGCCTTGAGGGATTTCTTGAGAGATTTTTTCTGTGAAAGGTTGGCAGGTATGCAGTTTTGATGTGAGAGGTTCATATTTTCAGAATTCATCATGTATGTTATCATTAGAATTAACTTTAGTCTGCATGTCCATCCGTTTAATCCACCAGTGTGAACAGAGCTTGTTTGGCTGCTGAATGAGCAGGTCAATTAGTCTGTTATTGTGACGACTAGTTCAGACGTAAACCCCTGGATCCTTCCCCGAGCCCAGCTGCCAAGGGGTCAAACGAAGATCAACCCCAAAATAGAACCTGGCTAGAGACTCCTTGTCAACATCTCATCTCGTTACTCTCCCTACGCATGGCGACGCTGGACAAGTCCTTGAGAACATACCCTTTCACGTTGATATTTGACCATTCCAGGCATCTATATATGATTATGTGTGTCTGGAGAGCATTTAACACAGTATAGAACGAGCTCCATGACATTAGGGCATGTCTGATTTCGCAAGGTGTTTTTCAGCGTATGCGACGCTTCCGTGTCTAAAAGAAAGTTCCATGTATGACAATTATCATTAATCACTCGAGTGTCTGTCTTAGTGTGTGACTGACCGCTCATTACATATTGTTCATTAACATTATGGAATGTGCTCGATGACGTTGTAGTTACAACTCCCACGGTGGTTGTTTTGACGTGCCGTGTGCAACGCAACGCATCTTGTAGGTGAAGGCTTCTCTGATAGTCATGATTAACCCCTTGATTCATCTCTCCCCTCCCGGTGCACCTCCTCTCCTCCTCACCAGCCAGGGGTTCATGGAGGGGTCGCAGGGAGCTACTGGTGGTTTATGAATAACAACACTGCCCTCGTGGTCAAAGCAGGGGACAGTCACTGAACAGTCGACTCCTGGGCACAGAGTTCCAAGGCGTAGCACGACCTTTGACTCCGCCTAGGCACCGGCAAGGCGGCGGAGGAGGCGCAGCCGTGATCTCGAGGTGGAGAAAGGTGCCGTGTGCAAAATGTAGGTGAAGATGTCTGGATGTGCTGCCCTCGTTGTTTGCCAGCTTACGTGCAGCATATATTTTGAATGTCTGGAAGTAGAAGAAGAAGAAGGGCTTTTGGCTGTAGGCTTTTTTTTCTCTATATACCCTACCCGACACACATTGGCATACGGAGCCGCTAGACGCTACGTCAACACATTTAATGTACACGTTTTATATGGCGACGTTCTTTATCAAGATTTCCTATGCACTAACTCCATATCTACTAAAGATAAGGCTTAACACACACTATTCTATGCACACGTATACAAGACTTATTACACACATAAGTACCCAAGAGAAATCATGCTAGTGGTTAGACATATAGAAAAGATGAACAAAAAAGATGAATAACAACATCTGATAGATTCTTTACTGAGTTTCAAAGGATGCAGTGGTTAGTGTCCTCTGATGCTAGAGGTTTTTTGGATTCAAATCTCGTTGTATGGTCATGAACTTTTTACATAACCATCGTACAGTCTGTCATGCTCATACATTCTAGCAGAACCTACATGTGCTTAATCCCTAATGAATTGCATGCATAATAAACAGGCTTTTAATAGCCACTCTGCATCATACATTTATGTTTTTATTAGAAACTTACAGGTTTAGCGGTTATCGCCCTCTCTTGTCGATAAGGTTCAATGGTTTCTTGTACTCTACTTTCTCATGCCTTTGAAAGGAGAAGTATTTCCATTTTTTGTTTGAATTTCAAGCATTCCTTTAATACTGATTGCTTATGTCCAAATATTTGCTCAAGCCTTACCTGACATAGCAGCAATCACTGCATGGATATTATAGTATACAAGCAAAAGATTGTAGTTTGATTTAACAAATCTTTGCAAATATAAGACATAGTGGTTGCTGCCAACCCAAGGTTTGCAACAGACATGCCCAACATAGCAACAAACAGTATACACACATGTGCCCATACTAACAATACAAACATATTGCACAAACCTTATTCTGTAATTTTCTGCTTGATTCATATGCACATGATTTGCAAACTGTTTCCTTCATCATGAATTAAATCTTTTGATGAAGAGAATAGAATAAATTTCATTTTCATTTTCCCTGTCGTGTAAAGCACATTTCTACTCCAAAAGTTGCACCAAAGGTTCATATTTTTGCATAGTCTTCAATGACTTTATATTACTTTCTTTTCATCCTCTCTCTTGTAGTTAAAAACACTTTATACATGTACATGATTTCACAATGATTTTAAATGTATTGGCTGCTATGAGAAGTACTTATAGTATCTGCATTATAGTGGAATTCATTTCCTGGCACATCTATTTTAAGGAATACTTCATCCTGAATGTGCTCATTAATGTGATAGATTTGTATACAGCTCTTAATGTGACTATTGTGTTGGCTTTTGAAGTGCCTTATATTATTACTAACTTGTTATCTTTCTCTACAATCGACCAGATAGCGGATTCATAGGGGACTGGTTCTATTTATATTATTCTGATCAGTATTAATCATAATAATAATGATAATCATAATAATAAATACTTATAAAAAGCACTTAACTATTTACAATAACTTACTCAAGGTGCTAAACAAATAAAATACATAAATCTTTATCCAGAATTGAACATCATTATAGCATTTAGCAACTCTGAGTATAAAATGAAAGCTTTTTAACAAGTTCCTGAAAGGTTTCTAGGCATTGAATGTTTTGAATGTTACTTGGTAGCTTGTTGATGGAACGTCTTTTATTATTCAATTAATTTCATCACATTTGGATAAGTGCATAATTGCATGGGAAAATCAGTTCATTTCATCCCAATATATAAGTAGTTCATACTTGTATAGAACTGGAGCCACAAAGCATTTTTAGACAATACAAACATGATCAATAATCGTTTGAAGATTTGTTGTTGTTGTAAATGAATATTATTGTTGACAACAGAATTTCCATTTGAGTTGTGAAGTTTTAAACAATTAAGCAGTTTGTGCATGTACTTTGACACAGCTAGCTTAATTATAATAACTCAGTTGTCAACTGTAAATCGTACATGTGCGGTCAGTAACAATCAGGACCAAAATTGCTTGAGCTTGCCCGTACATTACGGTCTAGCAACATGTTCACTTGGTCAGCTTTCTGTCTTCGCCTACAAACTGACTCGGTGGACCCTGGTTCAAAACTGAGGCATGCGTTCGTATGGTGATGTAATAAAGGTCAGTCCTCAGACGTAAATAATCATATCTGATTGATACACGTCTGTAAAAACACAATTACACACACACGCACACACGTACTTGGAAGTCTCTAGTAATCTAACTTGCACAAACAGCCTGCTTTGGTTGCGTTCATGTGGGTTTTCTCTGACTTTCGTAATTTTTTGTCCAGGTTGGGGGTCGAGGAGGGAAGAGCCGTCTAACGCTGGGGATGTCTGCAGCAGCCGAGTTCAGGAACCATTTGACAGACTTCAGCGAGCATTACGCGCAGCTTGGACCCGCCAATCACGATAACCCGCCGGACGATGGCAGACTCAAGAGTGAAGTCATTGTGAAGGAGAACAGACGATATTATCTGGACCTCAAGGAGAACTCACGGGGACGCTTCTTAAAAGTAAGCAATACAGTGGAACCTTGTCATTATAACAAGGTCCTTGGGACCATAGAAATTACCTTGTTATATCAGGGTAAAAAAATATATATATATAAAGATTCACTGTGAAGGAGAACAGACGATATCATCTGAACCTCAAGGAGAACTCACGGGGCCGCTTTTTAAAAGTAAGCAATACAGTGGAACCTTGTTATATCTTGTACCTTTTAGAAATAATCACGATGGCAGCTTATCATACAGCTAAACTGGGATGTCCGTGCAACGTGCCGGCAAAGTGACAGTGCATGGAATAATTCTAAACAGTGAATGATGTCTATTATTTACAATAAAACGGTGGACGTGCAAGTAAAAACCGAGATGAGGAGTCTACAGTAGCTTGGACCCAACAGGAGGAGGCAATGCTCTCATGGTGGGGAGAGTATCCTCCTGGAAGGTGGTCACTTTATAACGAGGTCTTTGGGACCATGGAAATCACCTTGTCATATCAGGAATCTTGTTATATCAGGGTAAAACAACCCAAAAGAATATAAAGAGTTAAGACCAGCAAAATCACACAGTTATAACAGGTACATGTAACTCATTATATAAGAGCTCTTTATGAAGGTTCCACTGACATATCCCAGCCGTACGTTCTCTATAGTCAATTACATGTAGTACAGAGTTATCTGCATGTACACTAGTGAAATTATAAAATTTATACCTAATGAATACTCTACTTGTTTCCCATAATTAATCTAAAACCCAAGCCTAACCTACCTCCAAATTTAGAATAAATTCATTACAGATGGTTTGGATTCTTTGCCATTCCTGAAATCCAATGTTATCCCCTCAATTTTGTTTTATCCCCAGGTGTCACAGACAGTGAACAGAGGTCCAAGAACACAGATTGCCGTGCCTGCCCAGGGGCTTGTAGAATTCAAAAACGCCCTCACAGAGTTACTAGATGAATTTGGAACAGATACCGCAGGTAAATGGGACTGAATTGGACTTTCAAAATTGGAATGAGTTGGAATCTATAAATGGGAATGAATTGGAATTTTTGCAAAGGGAATGCAACGTATGATAGGATAGGGTACAGTGTCTGCCCAGGTTCTTTTAGAATTCAAAAATGCCCTTGCAAAATTACTAGATGAATTTGGAATGGATATATAGCCTGTAAATTTAAATGATGCAAAATCAAATTGGTACTTTCAAAAATTAAATGAGTTGGAATTTAGAAATGGGAATGAATTAGATTTTGGTAAAGGAAATGTAGTAACGTATTTAGATTAAAGTGCCTGCCAAGGGTCTTGTAGAATTAAAAAACGCTCTCACATAGTTACTACATGAATTTGGAATGGAAAGCCCAGTAAATTAAAATGATGGGAAATTGAATTAGCATTTTGGAAATTGGAATTTGGAAATGGAAATAAAATTACTTTTGACTGGATAGCTTACCGTGCTTGCTCAGGGTCTTTTTTTTATTTAACAAAAATGCCCGCACAGAGCTACTTGATGAAATTGGAATGGAAAGCAAAATGGACATTTTTGGAATATGGGATTGTCATTTTGAATTTGGAAATGGGAATGTAGTGACATAAACTGGAGAGATGACCATATCAGCACATTCAATGATCTAGTAGATTTGAGAAAACACCTGCACAGAATTAGAAGATGAACTGATTAATCAGAATAAAATGAAAAATTTGGAAATGGGACTTTATGTGGGAATGATATAGATTACCATGCTTGCTAAGGATCAATCTTTTATATCGGTAATTAAAAACTGTCCTTGCAGAGTTACTATATATAAAATTGGAAGGAATTTGAATTTGGAAATGGGAAATACAATACATTGAAGGTATTCAGACATTGGAAGAATGTTACATGTAATAGGGATTGGGCTAGGGTTTGTAGAATTCCAATAATAATTCAGAGATTTTAACAGGCTGTTGTGGAATAGATCTGACAGGTATATATATATGATTTGGAATTAATTAGAATTTGGGAATTGGAATGTTTTCTAGAAAGCTCAGTTGTATATTTCAAATAGGCCCTTATGGAGTTACTGGGCTATTGTGGAATAGAACTCACAGGTATATATGTATGATTTGGAATTAATTGGAATGGTTTCTAGAAAGAATAGAACTCACAAGTGTATGTATGATTTGGAATTAATTGGAATTTTGAATGTACATGCAAACATTCCTGTTTGCTATCAGAACTTGATACTACTTCTAGACGTTTACGACTTTGTTATTGTAAACACTTAGACTTTTGATTTGTATTGTTTTGATGATTGCAGAGGAAGGTCAAGGAAATGTCCCAGAGAGCAAATCATTTAGGGTAGAAAATAAAAATTTCTACTTTGATATCGGACAGAACTTCCGTGGAGTATACATGCGGGTCAGCGAAGTACAGGTAAGAAATCCAATCATGGTTTATCCTGAAGAGTTATAATATTCAGTGTATTACTTGGATAAATTGAACATCAACTAAGTAAACATTTAGCTTGTTAGAGTGAAGAAATCCAATGGCCTATCTTGGAAGGTAATCTTGAGTCCATGATTAATATTCAGTTTATAAATTACTTGAATCTATTGAACATAAACTAAACAGCATTTAGCTTGCTACAGGTAAGAAATTCAACGGCTTATCCTGAAAAGTTATCTTGAGTTCACGGTTAAAGATAACCTCCAGTACTGGTAAAAAAAAAAAAAATTCTCACAGAATCAAACGAAACTTACACTGAATGTTCAAGATTGCAAATAAATGACATGTGCCAAACAATTTTGGAAGAAAATGTATACTGGCTGAGTAATGAGCATAGAACGACAAGGAAATCAAGGTAGTACTAGCCCCGACGCCATGTGTGTTGTCCCATATATAGCTTTCTATGTGAGTGCTTGTTACTTTACCAAGACTCGGTCAAATTTATTATGATTTTGATGACTCCAGAACCTTGCAGTGCCCACCAATACTTACATGCTACATGATCAACTGTTTCTGATCCTTTCCACACCTTTTCTTTCACAATGCAATCGCATTACCAGTACTTAAGTTTATCTTTAATATTCAGGTTATTTATTGAATCAATTGAACATTAATTAAGTGAGCATTTAGCTTGTTAGAGTTAAGAAATCCAATGGCTTATCTTGAAAAGTAATATTGTGTTTGTGGATAATATTCATTTTATTACTTGAATCTATTGAATGTTAACTAAGTAATCATATAGTGTGGTTGAGTGAAATGGCTGAAGAAGTTTTCAGTCAACATATAAGTTCTCTCTTTTAGCATTGTTTCCCTTACTTTGTTCATCATCATCACCATTATCACCATCATCATTATCACCATCATCATTATCACCATCATCATAACCGTTATCATCATCATCATCATCATCATCATCATTATCATCATCATCATCATTATCACCATCATCATAACAGTTATCATCATCATCATCACCATCATCATCATTATCACCATCATCATCACCGTTATCATCATCATCATCATCATCATTATCATCATCATCACCAATATCATGATCATCATCACCATTATCATCACCATCATCATCATCATTATCATCATCATCACCATTATCATCATCATCATCATCATCACAAACATCACCATCATCATCACAAACATCACCATCATGATCATCAAAATGATTGTAGTTGCCATTATTGTAAAAATCACCCTCTTTGCTAATACAGTTCCTCACTTCTTGTCTACCCCCCTCTCTCTCTCTCTCTCTCTCTCTCTCTCTCTTTCTCTCTCTCTTCCTCTCTCTCTCTCTCTCTTTCTCTCTCTCTCTCTATCTCTCCCAGCCTCGAAATCAATTCCGCACATCCGTCACGATTCCCGAGCGATCCTGGGCACGGTTCCGAGACATCTTCACAGAATACGTCGACAGGATGAAAGAAATAAGAGCAGGCGAAGGAGGGGCGCAAGGGGATGAAGGAGATTAGGATAATCCAATGCTCATCTTAATCCCCTCAAGATCCTCATCCCCTCACCGGAAGAAAAAAAAATGGAAAAAAAGAACTCTACACCCTCTGCCTCAAGAAGACGGGAAAACATTTACAAGAAAAAAAAAATGGAGACAAGATTTTTTTGAAGGATGATTTTTACAGTGTGTGTATTCAAGACATGGGCTATAGACAACATAATGTCAGATGGGTAAACGCTTGAAGGAGATGGTGACAAAAAAAGAATAATAATTTATATAAATCTAAAGATTTTATCATATTCAAATGGATTTTTTGTATCAATGAAATTTGAGAAGTGATGATTTGCAAATGTGCAGGAAACAAAAACGGAAGCGATTGAAGGAATGAATTTGTTACAATAAACCAGCAAAAAAATAGAAAAATTGTTTGAGTATATGAATTCCAAAATTTTGTACGCTATAACACAGCTGAAGGTTTTTCTTTTTGTTTTTGTTTTTGTGTACACATCAATAAGAAAAACGAAATGAATTCTGAAAAGATGAAAGAAAGATGATGATTTTTTTTTTTGCAAAACACAAAAATATGATGAGCACGAAAGATGTAACAGAAAAAATTGTCCTCACCTGTTTCGAAAGGTTAACGATTCCAACACACATGTAAATCATAATCATATGTGATATGGAAATTTAGATTTAATCATGGCATTCAGATATTGTTGCTGTGAAGAGCAGTACAATTTGATGGTCAGGAATGTAAAATTCACTTGAAATGAAATTCCATACCCAAAAAATAGAGTAATTTATGAAAGATAAAATGGGTCTTTGAATGATATGACCCCCTAATTAGATAAAGATAAAATAAAAACAAATAATGACTATACTATGAGGAAAACATGTAAGGAAGAGAATGTTTGTGGTGCACTTGCTTGCATAAGAAAAGCACTGGACTATTGTAATGAAAGTATGAAATTTAGAATTTTGCTTTCGAACATGTCAGAGAAAATATAGGGGTGTCAAGTATTTGAAGAAAAAAATTTAATACTTTACAGAGAGAAAACCTTATGTTTGGTTTATAAAACTGATGAGATAAGAAAAGGGGTTAAATTTAAATGTCACACAGAATGTCAAGGAATAAACTGTACCCAAAGGAAACTGTCCTAGGAGTCAAAACTGGTACCCAGATTGTGTTCATAACTTCACGCCGCAGGGGAGGGGACGGATTACGGATCGATGGCAGGATTTACGGCGACACGGACGGACAGACGGAGGAGACGTGACATGGAGAGACCGCTTCGGGCGGGGTCCTTTCTGCGGAAGACGTGTAGAGATTAAGGCTTGTGTGATTGCATATAAAAATAGAGCTATTTAATAATTTGATGAGAAGAAGAAGATGGAGGATGTATAATGGTAGACGGAGAAAGATGTTCTTGTACATGTGTTGATCATAGAGGGAGCCTTTTACGTGAGAGTTTGTTTTTTCTTCTCTATTTTTCTGGATGTCTGACTCTTATTTCTCTTTGACTTTGAATGAATCAGACTTTATTAAGATGGGGGCAAGCATACCGTTGATTCATCCGACACTGTGCCATTAGTAGTAATCGGTGATGTAGACCAGGGTCCTGTTTCATAAAACTTGATATCAATAACAAGTTACAAGCTACTGTTATAAGCTACTGAAATCCTTGCTTCTGATTGGTTATCAGCAGATTTGTCACTGGGTTTTGTCACTTGTCATTGAAAAAAGGCTTTGTGAAACGGGCCCCAGACCTGCCACACATTTTTTGAGATGCATCTCAATCCAAAGCAGTCATATATTCGAGTCCGGGGTCGAGCCCAATTTCTTTAGCCTGGGCCTTTGGACCGAGTCACGTGTACACAACCAATGGAAGGTGATATTTGTGGCGAGGTCATGACTCGCAACTGCCGGCTGTGACTACATCCTTGATCCTTAGACCAAATTCTTAAGGGATGTAACTAAAATGTTGAGATCGCCTTCCTCTCTTAAGAAAATCGCAGATAATTATGTACATGATATCTTGGAGTTAAGTTTGTGAGTATAGGTCAATGGTCAAATAATATGGAAGGCCAATAAATGGAGCTTGCAGTTTATAAGGAAATTGTATTGTTTAAAAAAGATGAATTAAAAACAAACGGTTCCAAATTTTTGAATTAAAGTTGCGCTCAATAATGATGGGTCGGCAGCTGTTCCTCTGTTTGAAATGGTGTTAAACACCCTTTGTGTAGTAAACACCAGAACACGTTTTCAGTCGGGTGTTTGCGGGTCTTCGTCATACTGCCGTTGAACAGTTACTGGAAGATTTGGTGCTTAACAATAGGTGTTAAGTCAACACTTATATCAAAATATTATGATAAAATGTGTTTATAAGCACTGTAGTACAATCATAATGTTTAATACACCAGAAGCCACACACTGTCTAAACCAAGCACCAATCAACCACGTAAACCTTCCATATCTCTCTTCCATATACACATGTTTCAATTGTATGCTTGCCCCCAACTAGCATGTACAAATTACCAGAAATGTTTTGAAAATCTGGGCCTTCACAAATTAGAGAAAAAAATACTGAGATAAACTATAAGAGAGTTATATTTACATTTTTTCACATGTGTTTAAGCTTATATATATATGAATATTGGATATTTTGTCTTATTTTTCATCTCTGTTAAATACCTATAGACCTCTGCACAGTATTTTTCTTTGTTTCTGATTGAATCTAGTTCCGAGTGTGGGAGACGCTTCTTAGAGTTGAGTATTATCATAGAGAGTGCACTTTTGTTCATGATGACCCTTATGGTTCCCTAACTGTTGAAAGAGAATGGAATTTTTTAATTTATTTTTAAAAACAAAGAACAGGCCCCTCCCCTCTTCATTAAAACAATAAACAGGAGACTCTTTGGTTTTATGTTGTTGTTTTTTAAGAATAATTTAAAGTTGTAGGGTTTTAGACATCTAATGAAAACCTGAATTGTAACTGTATAATTTAGATTCATTGAAAGTATCAGCGACTTGTCCCAGCTGTAACCTGGAAAAAAAAGTGTTTGGGAGTTTAAGTTATGAATAGTTAATGTAAGTGAAAACAAGAAGATTGGTTCCAGAAAATTTTAAGGAAATGATGCTTGTGTACATGGATGTAAATGAGATTGATATATTTTATTCAGTTGCCCTAGAATTTTGTCCTAGAATTTAACAACCAAAAAGATTATAGTTGTATGGCGCCAAGAGAGAAAGAGCCAGGATAGAAAATTAAGTTGAGAAAGAGAAAGATATGTGAACAGATGTTTTGTAGTAGATTTGTGTACCTGTGTATTGGTTTATGATTTGTTTTAATTTCTCTATGTTTAGAAAACCCTGGCACAAACAAGCCCCAATCCAGTTGACTTGTATTTGATATTGGCTTACCCCAAGGCTATTGTATAGGACCATATTAATTGCAGAAAGGCATATATCCATTTCTTGAAGAAGAAAAAAAAAGAGTTGTGATGGTGGTTTTTTATATTTCCCATTTTTATTTCACTTGTAGCATCACCTTTTTCATTTATAAATAAGGAGATATTTAGTACAATATTGAGCCTAATTTTACCAACAAGTCTTAAAATATTCATCTATCTCAAGTAAATCATAGATATTTTGGTTGATTTGAAGATTGATCTTGGACTTCCTTGGGTTCCCTCCGCTCAGATATAATGATTAAAGGGTGAGAAATTTCATCTGAGGCAAAACAAACTTGTATTACAGAAGGCAAATGCATGAAGTAGAAAAAGCATACCCAAATACATGTGCAAAGATATATCTTTATGTATTTATCGATCTCTACCTTCATTTTTTCCAATAGTTTTCATTCTTTAGTTAAGCTTCTCCAAAACGTGAAGACACGTCAAATCCTTCTCAGTCTAACGCACTATTGAGTAAAAATAGGTTTTGCTGTATTTTAATTCATTTTAATTTTCTTTTTGTGATAGTGAGAACGTTGACGTGATATTTACAAACAAAAGAAGAAGAAAAAAGGAAAAAAAAAGTTGTGTAAGACGACATTGTATTATTGTGTATCCTGTTTGCATGTAAAGGTATAAAAGCATCTAGTTTTGAAGGGTAAGAGTGTTTGAGGCATAGGTATGATGTGTCTTTTGGCCTGATGAATTTTAAACGGTTTAAGGATTTCTTTGAGGTTTAGTAGTTGGCCTGATTTATATATCGTTGAGGTGTAGCCGAGAGTATCCCTTTTGCATGTTATTTTGCTCAATTATCACCACTTTTTATCGAGTTGAAAGAATGTTGAAGTTCAGTAGGAATAACTTAAAAGGTGTTTATGAGATTAAATGGTTAATGGATTAGATGATGGTTTATCGAATAAATATATGGTAATCTTCGAGATTGAATGGTTAAAGGATTAGTTAATGATTTATCATATGCTTTGGTGTAAGTGTGTCATCAAGATTAAATAGTAAAAGATTTAGATGATGGTTTATCTTCATGGTATGAGCTTGGCTACTAAGGCAGCAATGTGTTTGCATGTTTCGTTCACCATTACTAGTTATAAACGGTCAAAGCACTTTCCGTAACTTTGTTAAGTACTGTGTAATAAATAAGAGTTTGAAAGTCTCTGGTGAACAGGTTTGATGCTGGAGTATATATATGCTCAAGTTAAATTGTAAAACTGAACCAGGTTAGGTTTATAAAGTCACTACAGTTCTGAATTGGTTTAAAATAATACATACATGTACTAACTTGGTTGAAAAGTTAATACATGTACAAGATTGGTTAAAAAGTTGGAACATGTATTAGATTGGTTAGGGTTTACATATTCATGTGGAAAGGTAGTCTAAGAATTCAAATAAGATCAAGTCTTGTTTAAAAGTTTTTGGATGGATTACATTTGGTTAGAATTTGAATGCTTGTTTAACTCTGGTTAAAAGACAATAAATGACATGACACTTTTTAGTAAATATGTCAATTTAATGTATATGATAAGCAGATTACTATCGTTTTACCTCTGGTTAATTTACAGTCTATTTCATGCTGGATTCTTATCAGAGTGCTAGCACAAGTTATTCACTGGTTAAATAGTTAATATTAAGTTTTTAGTTGACTGCTGCTTATCTCTGAGTTAAAAGAGCGTACTTGTTTAACATTCAAGCTAGTAATTAGTCAAACAGTTAAATAGTTTACAATTGGTCAAGCATTTCAGTTGAATGCCGATCTCCAGAGTTTCAAGAGCTGACATGTTTTACATGCAAGTCGTTAATTAGTTAACTAGTTTACAATCTGTTAAATAGTTAGCACACAGTTGAGCATTGTCTTTGACTGCGAGTTATCAAGTCACATGTTAATGAACAGACATGTTTTACATGCAGGTCACTGTGCTTGATGTATATAGGGCAGACTTGTTCCAGTGAAAAAAATATGTTTAAAGCCAGGACGAGTGAAATTATATCGATGGGTCCAATATTGTTTTTAACATGTTATAGGACTGTTATGCGCTACATGAATATACTCCAGAAAGTTTATACACAGGACGCTGTAGAGCACATTTTTCTTTTGTTTCTGTCATCGAGCGAGTGATATTTTGCAGTTTCCTGCCATATACGGATGAAATTGAAAGCATTATTTGACGATGAAAATTGCTTTGTGTGTGCATAAATTCTCGGTTTTAATTATTCATATTATGTCACATTGGTTAGCCCAGCGTTTTTCAACCAGGATGCCGCGAGAAAAATTAATGAAACATCCATTTTTAAATGAACGTCGCTTTCATAAGAAAAAAGCATTTTAAACTTTGTAACATTTTGTTAGTGTCTTTTCCTTTGCTTGCTCACTCGCACCGTTTAGAAACAAGATGGTTTTAGGCAGTGACGTGATAAAATATCTCCAAAATCGGGCAACAAAATGACAAACGCACGTTCGCTTCACTTGCTCGGAAAGAGGTTGAAAAACGCTGGGCTAGTCTCGTTACCAGATGATGGAAGTAATATATTGGATGCTAAATACTGCGTTGGTACAAAAAGAAGGGTTTTCAGAATGCACAATGGGCATTTTCTAGAGCTTAAAAAGGGAACCGAACAGAGAGTTTGTAACTGGGTAAAAGTTAAATAATGAAATGGTTTCAAACTGAGCAGCAAGTAAACTGGGCTAGAGAGTGAATTGGCATAACGAGGGATTTTTAAAAAGATATATATATTTTTTTGCTATTTTTTATATGCTGCAAGTATGATAAAACAATAAAAAAAAAGCTTCATAGAATTTTGCAAGGGGTTTTCGTACAGTGCAATTATGGTACCTCACAAAAAGTGTACCATATCTTGAGTTAAAAAAAGGTTAAAGTTAAGAGATTACATACTGTTTGTTGAACGCCAGGAGGGTGTTTATACTGTTTTCAGGATGTGAATAAACACCCTTTTAACTCTCAGTGGTAGTATATTAATATACACTGTAGTAAAATCCTAACGATAATCTCTATTTTTAGACCCTATAATCGAAATGATCGATGTGCATTTGTTTAAGACATTGGAGCAATACGCAATCATATTTGATTTTGCCGTAACTGTGCAAGCTTGAATACATGCTATACACAATAAAGCCTGCAGCAACATGGACAACTTGCAAAAGGATCAGTTGTCCTAAAACGAAACAAAATTGTATATGCAGTTATCTCTAATAACAATCATTAGAAATGATAATAGAGCAATCGGAATTGATTTTAACAATTCTTATCTGGGTACTATTTGTGCTCACAAATGAAATATTGTGAAAGTTAAACTGTTCACACTTATGAGGATGGGGGGGGGGGGAGGGGGAGGGTGTGGGGTGGGGTGGTGGGGAGGGGGTGGGGTGGTGGGGAGGACACAGAGTTAGCGCCCTTTTGGCTCTTTAACAGACAATATTTGATTTCAAACTCAAATACAGTTCATGTTCTTGTGTAACCAACCAACAAGTCTAGCTTGCTTTTGACCAAGCCAACCAATGTTAATTTAAACCTGAATCTCTCAACAATGTATTTTAAATCTATGTATCGACTTCCATGAAATTATCTTTGATCCAGTCAAACTTTTAGGGGGACAAAATGTTTTAACGTTTGAGCACCTGCAACCAACACACATGGGGTGTGCATCTTTTCTTGGTATCTTGTTTCATACCTTGTGTGATTATAGCCTATGCCAGCTTGAGATTTTAAAAAATCCTACCAAAAAAATGTTGTTTTTAGAGAGACGATTCTGTTTTAAGAAATAAAGCTACGTATTATATAGAGGAAGATATATATTTTAAAGAGAGGGATTAATAAAAAAAAGCTTTAAATCTCTTAATTTGTTTGTTGTGAGAAATCTTTTTGATTCTACCATGAAGCTTAGCTTCAGAATTCCATGCGTTCATGCTTATATATTAATGTATGTGTAGCATAGTCTTGTAATAACATCAACATTTTAAGGAGAAAAAAAAGAGTAGATGTAATAATACTTGTTATTTATGAAGAATTGTATTTTCTTTTTCTTTTATTTTGTTTATGTTCCTTGTTGCTTGTATAACCCTTGATATTGATGGCTTTTTGGGTCATTTGAAAATGTGTTCTTTTATGGTTTTTCTGTTTATTTGTTAAGATGTCAATAGAGCAGCCATATTGGATTTGTTTGTTTGAGGAATTTAATCACTCCAGTGAGCATGCAATGATCAGCCAGTTACAAGCATCTTTCGATCTTGTTCATGCATATTCGTGTTGCAGTGTGGCTTTGTATTAATATTCATATTTGTCTATTAAGAGAAGATAGCTGATTGGCTGCTCACTGGAGATGATGTCATAATGAATATTCATTCTAGAAGCTTTGAGATACACACTGACTGATGTGACTTTAGAAGCTTCACCACTGTGTGTGAGTTTTTGAGTCAGTTGCTGCCTACAACATGAATATATATACATAAACATGAGCACATACAAATATATGAATACTAATTAGTCTGTAGACTTCAAATACAGGCTATTGTGTTTTTTCTTCTGTACAATGCATTTATGTAAACAAAGAGCATTTATTATTGGATTATATAGAATGACCCAAAAAGTTTTAAGGTATTATTGTATTTTTGTACTATGTAGGATGTTCACTGATGTTCATTAAATGGAGGAAAAGAAAAAAAAAAGAGAAAAGTTCTATTTACTCTTTGTCCATTTGTGGTTTGATTAGCAATGGCGCTTGTAAAATGGCGACTGGCTGGAATGCTCCCCAGGGAGTGGAGAATGTGCATACCTTGTGTGCTGGTAAGTCTGAATCCGATGACTGGGGTAATAATATGTTTCGCGCCTAGAAACAAAGTATTGGCGCATTATAAATGTGAGCTATTATTATTATTATTTTATGTACAAGTATGAGAGAGAGTCCTGGTATAGTCTTACATCTCTTGATTCTTTTAAAAATAGATGGGACAAATACTGTTCCTCCAAACACCAAATTCTTCTGTAGTACATGTACGTCCACCCACCATGTGTTCACAATCAATTAGATTAGAACAAGTACCATGAGATGCAAAGACTGGAAGATTTCAACTGGATTACTTCTTAACTGTACACTGATGCAGAAGTGAAGAGCAGAGCAGGAAGAGGGTGGAGAGGGAAATTGAGTTAACGAAACAGGGAAGAGGGAGGATGATAGATACACAGAGAAAGTGAGAGAGAGGCAGATAGATCAGAGATACAGATGCAACATTTTCAATTTGATTTACAAGTATGAGAGAATGAAATACCAGGGAGAGAGTGGAGAGAAGGAGAGATTCGAAGAGACGAGGAAAGGGAGAAAGGGGCAGAGAGATCAGAGATACAGATCCAAAAAATATCTGGAGAGGCGATAGTATCACACAATGATATATCAACCTACTTAAACTTCTGAAAAATAGAGATGCAGAGGAATTAAGAAGTGGAAGGGGTACAGAGAGAGAGAACAAGAAAGAGAAAGGGAAGATATATTAAAGTAGGAATATAGTGAGGGGTATATTTGCCTATTTGGAGAAACATGCATTAAGCAAAAGAAAACATGATTAGAGGCTTTGTTATCTGTAAAACAATCTCTTCATATATTTATTTGCTGTATGAATATTATAAAAATATGTTTTTCTGTAATCATCAAATGTACAAAAGACCTCCACAGTTATGTAGGGAATACATACATACATATCAAATGTCCTATATATACATAAAGATGATGTGCGATTGGTCAAAATGCTGTCACATGACCATCGCTACAAGGATGAGAAGCGTTCTATTTTCAAACATATGAGTACAGGAACTTATAAGTGTACCAATCACTCAAAAATATATTTATCTGTATGTTAGTACTTCTAAGTAGTAATACTGTATTCACACTATAAGTTTCAAATATTACTTCAGAAAAGAGATTTCGCCACTTTATACAACCCTGTATGACAATAATAGACCCAATAGTTTAAACATATTTGTGGCTTACACCCAGTATATAAGATCGATTGATCGATCTGTAATTGAAAAACAAGTCAGAAAAAATCAGGTTCAAATCCCGCTGGTTCCAAGATTTTTCTAACTTGTTTTTCAATTACAGATCGATCAATCGATCTTATACCGTGTGAGTCAAAAAAAGTTTACACCTAGAAAATTGCTAATTATTTTTAAAATCATCTACGTACAGTAAATTATTATACATCTTATGAAAGAGTGTTTTATCCCAAATCATTTGGTACCATTTGTGTGTGGTATGTGTTCACGCTTGGATGAACAGGAGGCATTGTTTGCGAGAATGCAAAAATCGACTTGCGCCAAAATGATGCCTACAGTATGTATTACGTAAGGATTAGCGGAGTGAGAGAATGAATTGAATGTATCAAATGAAATGCATTTCATACGCTTTTTGCAGAAGAAAAGTCGCACACACACACACACACACACACAATTGTTCGTTAAAATTTGATATGTGTGGCATGATTAATTTTGTGAAGGATGTTATTTGGATCTGCAAAGACCGAATTAATACCCAAATCCTAATTGTTTAATTCAAATATCACATAAGCTACTTTGGCGCAAGTCGATTTTAATTGACACATTAAATTTGTATAAGATCCAGAAGTGTCTTTGCCATATATACCCATGGCCAGTGCATGCTGCCCTCTACGGTTGAATACCGTAGTGGCGATAGCGAGAATTATACATGTATCACGTTAATGTCTCCTTACAAAGAATTAATCCACATAACTGAACAGTCACTTTACATCTTGCTGCATTTCTCCTTGCTTTCACCGGAAACAGATTCCTCTCCTATTTGAATCGAGTTGATTTTCCAGCTGTATGGCCTATAACCTATCGTGACCTTTGACCCTGAATCCTTTAGTGTGATAAGCTCCTGGACTTGAGCCGCCTTCCCCTCTTCAAGGAATGGAATGGTCCATCTACAACATCAATGAAATCGATATACAATGTTGAAAATGATATGACAATACTTCAACTTGAATGTAATTTTTAATTGTTAATTTTTACTCTTGTTAATTGTTCATGCTTGTATTGTTTTCTATTTCAGTAATTGTGCATCAATGGCGCCTCTTTTAGGCGGATTTAAGCGCCATGTAAGTACAGAATTATCATTATTATCATGATTACTTTTGAAAAGACACTACCGGTAGAGGACATGTATCTTTTACATTAAAACATTTTCTTCCAAAAAAAATAAAAAATTTGTTTTCAAATGTGTACAAACGTTTGCTTATATATATATACAAACAATATGTGCAATCTGTTGTAAAAATCAATTGTACAATCACTCACTAAGGTCAATGTTTGATATTATGCATGAACATTTTGTTTCATTTTTTAATGAGATATTGTGTCTTCAGTCTGATATGGAAAGGGTACAAACAACCCCGTTATTATTATAATAAAATAGTACCTGACAACATCAACATCCGTCTCAGCAGCATCACTTCCATACCATTTCAAAAGTGATGGCAAGTTGATCTACAAACAAAGAACAAGAAAAGTAATTAATAATGATAATAACAATGATTAAACATTTTGTATACATAGCACATAACGCATAGCCATAATTGCTTGTCTCGGAACTTTACAGAATTTACAGGAATTTAGTGAATTTTAGGAGACTGGCATCCACCTTAAAAACACTTTGGTTGAATTAAATCGCTCAACACTTTTAAAAAGAAGATGAAAATGATAGAAAAGAAGAGAAACAAAGAAAGAAAAATCAAGGAGAGAAAAAGAAGAAGAGGAAGAACAACAACAACACCCACAGCAAGAAAGAGAAAGAGAAGAAGGAAAAGGGAAAAAACAAGAAAAAGATGAACAAACAGAAAACCAAGAAGACAAAGAAGAAGCAGAAAAAGATAAAAGAAGACGAAAGGAGAGAGAGGAAGAGAGTCTTGAAAAAGATGATTAAAAAAGAGAATAAGGCAGAGGAGGATAATAAAGAGATAAAGGAGAACAAGACAAAGAGGAGGAGATGAAGGAGAAAAAGATGAACAAACAGAAAACTAAGAAGAAAAGGAAGAAGCAGAAAAAGAAAAAGAAGACGAAAGGAGAGAACAAGAGAGTCTTCAAACAAAAAAAGTGAGTCAGAGGAGGATAATGAGAGGGACATGAAGGAGAAAAAGGTGAAGATAGAAAGATAGAAAGAAAGTTCATAGGCACTCGCCTGTTTGGAGTCAGTATCTACCGTTACCTCCTGGTTCAGGTAGTTTCTTGAAGCCATCTGTAAAGCTCTCTCAAGGTTCTGCTCTGTGTATACGCTGATTGGAGGACAGGACTAGGAGAGAAATTGGTTGAATGGCAGAAAAATCATTAGCTGGAAACCACGAAGTGTGCTACATGTAATTTATGGATAGCAGAAGCAACTTTTAAACCATGAGTTATGTACATGTAAATGAGCTAGGGTTTGAACCATGGATTAAAGGTAATGCAAAGTTTTGGGAAATTGTGAAAATTGGATTGATAGTAATTCTTAAAATGTTGATATATTTGGATGCCCCTGTGGATGTTTTATAAGCACTAGAAAATTTAGCCCCTAAAACACTTCTGCTTTTGAGAAATTGAATAATTAAAAATTTACTGGTGCTCCTGGTAAATTTCATGTTTTTCATTAATTTCCAAACGGAAATAGCAAATCGGTCGATGGTAGTCAAGAAACATTGTTTTCGAGCTCAAGTAAATCAATCTTGAGAGGGCGCTATACAACATAAAGAGTTTATTATTTACAATTTCATCACTTGAGAATCGGTTTTAACTGACGACAACGATCACTGAATATTGTAGGATCGCATATGCTTCCAATATGTTCATTTGAACCAAATTCATGACCCCATACCCAAACTTTACCTTAAATACCTTTAAGTTAAACCTCCTTTGTGAATTTGGGCCAATTAATCTATTTCCATATGGTCTACACCCAGTCCATGTACTATCCATATGATCTAATAATCATTTTGTCTCATTTGGTCTAATGGCCATTTAGGCTAATAACCATTTGATCTGATTTCCATTTGGTCTAATCTCCAAGTAGTCTACTACCCATTTGGTATATTGTTCATTTAGTCTAATAACCAGTTAGTCCAAATCGCAGTTTGTATAATGACCATTTCGTCTACTATCTATAAGGTCAAATATTCATTTCATGATAAATATTATTTATGATCAAAATAATTATTAGACCATGTGGATAGTAGAAGAACTGGGGGGTGTTTCACAAAGATCCTAAGTAGAACTTAACTCCAAGTTGGACTTAAAAATTATGGACAGCCATTGGAGTCTTTAAATGAATATATTCTAAAGCAGAAATTCAAGTATTTTAGACTTTTTATTAATTCCACATCCAGAATATGAAATCTCCTTGATGATAGAAAATATGAATGATTTCAATAAACAATGAACGCCTTTCAAAATAACTTTTACAAAATATTTTCAAAGATGCTAATGGCTTTCCATATTTTTTAAGTCCAACTTAGAGATAAGTTCAACTTAGGATCTTTGTGAAACACCCCCCCAGGTTGTAGACCAAACAGCAATAAACCATACAAACTTACTACAAGATGGCTGTACATACCTCAGCACCACAGTTAAGAGCAAAGTGTATCCTAGCATCTAAGATGTCAACCATGTAAGGTAACCTGGGGTCATTATCTTGGAAACAGCTCTTCTTGGTGGAAGGGTGTGGCTTATTCTCTGTCATGAAAGGAGATGTTTCAAAGTGGAAAGACCAGTGCTTGTTATTCATTAAAAACTGCAGTATTATCTTAAGTTTTAAGCAGAGTACTTAAACAAAAATCTAAGTATTCTTTTTTTCTATCGCACACATCACATAAAGCCATACCACTACAATATGCGGCAACATTTGTTCTGGGATACGTTTTATGATATTAAAGGTTCTGAAACTCACTGAGTTTTAGTTTAGGTTTAGGATTAGGGTTGGGGAGAGTGGTCCAGGGTTGGATTTGTATGGATTCAGAACTTTTAGAAAAGTGCCTACGGAACAAATGCTGCCAGATCATACAGTTAACAACTAAATTATTCATAATACCCCTATAAATTTGATGTACTTTGCATTTTTGGTAACTCAAGAATGAAAGATTGACTTGTTGAAGTAGGGCATTTCAGATGTAAGCCTTAATATGTCACATTTTCAAGAAACATGAATGAGGATGAATTAATTTCTCACATATTTCAAAAATTATAAAAGTTGGTAAGGGTATGAATAATTTAGTTCTTGAATGTCATAGAACCCATTATCAAGGACTTACTTCTCAGGATACCATGTTCGATGTCGTCCAGGGAATAGACCTGACCAGCAATGGTGTATGAACTGGTCTTCCAGAAGTCCTGGACCTCAAGAACAGTACTAGGCAGTTCTGGCTGGGCTGCTAAGGCATGAATCGTCAGAGCGTTGTAGATGTCTGATTATATTGGTCAAAGAGAAATAGAGCAAAGACTGGGCCACTATAAATGTATGAATTGTTAGAGCAAGTAGATGTCTGATGTAATCAAAGTCAAAAGTAAATAGAGCAAAGACTGGGCCACTACGGTATGAATCGTAAGAACAAGTAGATGTCTGACCATAATAGTCACATGTAAATAGAACAAAGACAGGGCCGATGATGTATGAATCCTTAGAGCAGGTAGATGTCTCATCATAATCATAGTCAAAGGGAAGCAGAGCAAAGACTGGGCCCCTAAAGAATGAATCGTTAGAGCAAGTAGATTCCGATTGTAACAGTCATAAGGAAAGAGAGCAAAGACTGGGCCACCACACCATGAATCATGATAACTGGGCAAGGTAGTTCATCATCATTATTTTGCCAAGGATACTGATGAAGAATGCTTTCCTCTGATCCGAGGTCAGGGGTCGAAGGTCAATGCTATTGAGTTCTCTTGTTTTTGCTTGATAGTCAATGTAGAGGTCACTCTCACATAGTTTGAAGTAGTCCACACCAGATCCGTCTTCTGACATACACGAAGCTTTGATTCTAAAGAGGAACAAAAAAGAGATTTGAAAAACAGGTTTTCAAGTGACAAGGCTTGACAAATTTTGGTGTAGTGAACTATATTATACAATATATATTATCACCCTTGGGAAGATTAAATTTGATTAATGCACATTAATTGGGAGCGTCAAAAGTGTCAAGTCAACACACATGAGCGCTATTCAAGACACCACTATTATTATTATTATTACACACTGACACTGAAACACGGCATCAGATCAAAAATATTGGAGAAGAAAGATGGACCTTGGACGACAGATAGACCTGGAAATTTGACTGCAGATCTTGAAACAACTTTAGAATACCCAACGACAAAAATTGACAAGAGGTTTGTAGGTTATTTACCAAACGCCTCATCAATGAAACTAAATCTGATGACTTAAGTTTCTAAAAGTAACACTAAACCTAATAATTACCCTAACCCAAAGTCTTCAAAATTTGTGTACATAAACCCTATTGGTGGGGTATTTCCTCCTCCCTTGACTGTCTGACTCCACTCCTCTAAGGTTCTATCATGGATGCTCTATGTTAATATGAGGAAGGTTTTCATACCAGATGGTTATTTATGTCAATGTTTGGATGTACTTACTTGAGGATACACCTTTGCAATTCTGCAGCTAGATCCAAGGCTGATCGAGGCTTGTTGAGAATGTTGTACTTGATCCCACTATTGGCCTCCGCCATGATGATAATCGAGATGATCAGGAGTTCCACAAGAGTGTGTTTTGGGGCGTTCCTCTTTCTAGCCTTCATCAACGACCTACCCACGAGAGTCTACCTGCACAGCGGTGTTCCTCGATCGATCAACTTCTTCTGCTTTCTCCTTCTCAATTAACTTAGAATCTTTTGTTGAGAAGAAAGCCTATATCCGAGGTAATTTTCTATGAATGATGGGCGAGTCTAATGCGTTAAAAGATAGAAAGAGAAAAGATATATTAAGTGAACAAGAAAGATACTGGATATTGCTGGAGACAAAAATATTTTCCTCAATTTTTGTTTTTAAATTTTATTTTTGTTTTTGTTTTGTTGTTGTTTTGTTGTTGTTTTGTTTTGTTTTGTTTTGTTTTGTTTGTTTTTTTTTTGTTTTTTTTTGTTTTGTTTTTTTTTTTTTTTTTTTTTTTTTTTTGGGGGGGGAGGGGGATTCCATTGGATGACTTGACCAAGGGGCGTTAATGGAATATAAATGAGTGTATATTACCTACTTCAGGCGTGTACATGGGGGGGGGGGGGTAGGGGGTCGAACCCCACCTCGATTTTTGTTTATGTGTGTGTTTGGAGGAACCCCCCCCCCCCCTCATTTTTAAAATCTTTTATAAGCACATTTAATCATGTTAAATTTATTAACTATGCAGATTGTGCTCATCCGCATGCCATAACTGAACTATTCACTAATAAAAAATCTAATGACTTCTGGTAACTGACATTGACAATGAAAAACATGTAAATAAAATACGAGCACACCACAAAAACAGTGAACAAAAAGAGCTTAAATATGAATATATTTTAGGATACAAAATCATTTGGCTATATTGGATAAACAAAGAGCAAGGCAAGAAATGTGTGCTAATGAGTTACCTTATCACCTGAGAGACACCTTATCATTTCTCCAAACTTGTTGTGTCCTGACTCCTGTGATTGCCTTTAAAGCCAGACTGGATCGAGTATGGAAGGACAAGCGTTTCTGCTCCCCATATGAGTAGAATACCCGACGCAGAACTGAGCCAGACAAACTTACCAAGAAGACACCCAACTACGAGAAGGAAGAAAATGAAATTGAACTGGAAGCCCGACTGCTGAGATTCTTCCAGAATCTCGGGTAAAGCCTAAAGGGAAAGGTAAAGTTGCGCCAGCGCCACATGCCACATCAAATCAATTCAAGCCAGGTTTGCAAGGTTCCACTTGCCTTCAATTTCAAATTCAATCGTGTTGGCATTCCGAAAATAATAAAACACACTAAACTCTAAAGTAGTCTAGGCCTATAGGAATAGAGAGGAAATGTCTCACCTCGAGTCGAGTCGCATCGGATCTAAATATTGACTTGCTTTGGAAAGGCTAGGGAGAACCACGGCTACGCCTACGTATTGAGCATGTGATCAATCACATGATCAGCAATGGCCTGAGCTAGCCGGTTCGGTCGAAAGCTGATATGGTGTCTCTGAACGAGCGAACTTAAGTTAGACCTTTAAGAATCAAGAAACTGGTTGACTTAAATAGACCTCTATCCATTGGCGTATCCAGGGGGTATTTTGGGTTGTTCAAACACGTAACCCTCCCCCTTGGCAAACAGGGGGTGTTTAGGTGTCCCCCCCAAAAAAAAGGGCAAGGGGGGGGGGGTGTTATAGAATTGTAATTCAATTCAATTCAAATTTTATTGATTTTAATGCAAACAGATATGATCATTCTCAACGTTATAGTCAATTTTAAAGACACTTTTTATCTGTGTTTTATCTATGGACCCTCCCCCACCCCCACCCCCCCCCCCGGCACAAAAAAAGTACGGTTCCCCCTTCCCCCCCCCCCGGCCGCCCCCCCCCCCCCCCCTTAAGCCAAAACGAAAATTGTGCTTACCACCCATTCCCAGGTGGTTTCACACCTAAAATAAATAGAACAAAATGTCAAGGATTAGGTCTTTAGGGGAGGAGTCGTGGTCTAGTGGAGATGTCACCAGAGTGTGCAGGTGTGGATCATGCACATGATTTGTGGTTTGTGTCAGAAAAAGCATGATGCTGACACGTCAGTAAAAGGAGCGGCAGAGTGACTTCAGAAGTGGGGGGGGGGCACCAACAACAAAGGGCAATTTCTGGAAAAAGGGGCATTTACAAATTAAGGGAAATCTCAAAGGTCAAATATACACTTTTGTAGACATTGGTATATAGCCCTACATTCTGATAACATTATCGGGGATTGATTTCATTTTTTTTCCCTCTGTATACACCATACAAGATATTGCTTACGCATCACACTTTGCAGTTGTGTTTGATGGTCTGAAAATTCCCTTATATTTGCGAGGGAAGCGAGCGATGAAAAATGTTAAGATTTGTGATCTCGCAAAGCAAAAAATTACATCTGAAGAGGAGAAAAAAGTGAATCCTGTAACATATATATATAATCTATATGAATACGATCGAGCTTGGGGTAAATTGCTCTTAGTCGCTTGAAATTAGTGATGAGAGGAAAAGAAGATACTTAACGAAGGGGATGAAAATGGGCACTTATGAGAATGTGAAATTGGCATTTGTCAAAGGAAAACTAAGAGGCATGCACTCACCAGATTTTGATGGGGCCGTTTATCAAAAGTGAACAGGGGCATTTGACAGAAGTGAATAGGGGCACTTATGGCACCCGAAAGGGCACTGTATTGACCAGATATGAAAAGGGGCACGTATGAGAATGAAAAAGGGGAATTTATTGGAGGTAATAGGAGCTGCTCTTATGGAAAGGGGGAAGTGTCTCTTATCAGAAAGAAAAAGAGGCACATGTTGAAATAAACGGGGCACTTATTAGAGATGCAAAGGGGTTAATGGCCTAATTATGAGAAGGGGATAGGGCACTTATTATAAAGGAAAAGGGGCACATGTACAGAATAAAAGGAGCGCTGGTCAAAGTAAAAGCGGCACCTCTCATATATTCGAATAGGGCAAATATCAGAGGTGAAAAGGGGCACTTACTAGAGATTAAAAAGGGCACTTAGGAACATGGGAAACGGAGACTTAAAGGAAAGGGGGATATTGTTGAAGAAAAAAGGGCAAGTGTCAAAATAAAAGGGGTATTTATCAGAGGTAAAAAGTGGAAGTGGCAATTTTACTAATATACAAGGGGTACTTTTCTTATTTAAAAAGGGGCGCACTGTTCGTCTCTTCTATTGTATTATTCTTCATTACTTACAGGAGTAATATAACCCCCCCCCCCCCTCCCCATGTAGACTACGCCCTTGTTTCATTCATAGTCATATTCATATTTATTTCATTTCCAACAGAAAGGTAAACAAAGATATTACATTTGATTTCATATACATTTCATCATTGCGCCTAGTCTGTCGACCATGCCAGACTGGATTATTTTGTTTCTTTTCTGTTCAACCTGTTCAAAGACGTAATAGCATACATGTAATTGCAAATCAATTTTGTTCTGTAACTTCAGTCCATTTACATTGTGTCCCACTCGTTCCTTTTCTCGTGGTTAAAAGGTTCTCATAATATTCACTGACAATTTTATGCTTAATTTCGCGCATTATATTATGGATGATGCAGTTCATGAGCATGATGAGTCACATAGTTCAATAGAGTCAGAGAGAGACGAAGAATCAGGTGGAAATTGTGTTGGAAAACGTCCGAAATTTAGATTCACTTCCATCGTCGGCGCGTCTGAAATTTTGAGTGAGGAAGAAATTCGACGGGAGACCGTTCAGCTCGATCGGATCACGTTGGTGCAAGTGAAAGAGGACGAGTCGCGTGCCGAGTGGAAGATTCTAAGGGATGTGTGTCAGGATATGTTAGCGTGTTTACAGTGGCTAGCCCGCAGGAGATTGATCTCAAACACTTACATCTGCCCAAAGTGCCGGCAAAACTGCTTGTTCCAGCTGCGGGGAGACCGGAAAGACAAGTACAACTGGAAGTGCAATCCCTGCAACTTTAAGAAAAGCGTTAGGGAAGGGTCTTTCTTTGCAGGAAGTCACCTCAGCTTGCCAACGATCCTTCGGCTGATACATCTGTGGACCCTGAAAACAAAGCACTGTGACGTGCAAGATCAGCTTTGCATCAAGCAGCGGCACACCATCGTCGATTGGTTCGCGTTTATCCGAGAGATTTGCGCTCGCAAGGTTCTTGACACTCCACAGCACATTGGAGGACTGCATGAAGAAACTCTTGAAGGAATCGTTGTTTATTTTGATATCTTTAACTTCACGCATTTACGGGATAGAAAACAAGAAACCTACTGGGTGGTGCTCGGAATAGAGAGCAGCTCAGATCGCTATTTTGTGGTTCCGATCGATTCGTGCAGGCCTGCCGCTATTGTTGCGGTTTTACGTCAATACGTTGAGCTTGGCTCTATCCTGATCGGTAGACCCTTTGAAGAAGCAACCGATTACCCAATACCTGAAGAGCTTAAGAAATTTGCTGCCGATTACTCGGTCACTTTAGACTTGAACTCGGACTATCCAACCTTAGCATCGTCAGTCTATGACATCCAGGAAACTGAGCTTTGGAAATTGATCAGACGTCGTTACAAGAGTAAGAGTGATCTTTTCTGTGAGGAACCAACAAGCACTTCCCTCTTTCAATCTTATATCCAGGAAGCCATATGGAGACGGATGAGCTCTGATTCTGAAGACCTTTTCTCAGCAATGATTGCTGATATTGGCAATTATTACCCAGTTTAGTATTCAAATTTAGAAAGAAACAGATCCCACTTTTTTATAAGGTTCTTCTTCTTCTTCCATTGAAGTACATCCCTTTTTAAAGAGTATTGTTGTGGTAATGTAAGGATAAAATATCTTTCCTCATCATTGGACTAAAAGTTTGAGAAGAAAATGTTCTTTATTATCATCTAAAAGATTTTTTGAAATTATGAAGGAGAAAATCTTTCTTATCATCATCTGAACAAAGGTTGAGACTCTGAAAGCTTCATGTATTAAAGCATACTTTTCATCTGAAAAAGGAGTAACTGAGAAGGATAATATCTTCTTGATAAGAGTGAGAATTGGCTTCAATCAGCTGAACGAGAGGTTGAGAAGAGAAGGAAAAGTCGAAGACTTCTCTCATAATCTGAAGGAAAGATTAAGGAGGTCATAAGTTCTTCTTCAGCTGTACACATCCCGAAGAGACTCTAAGATGAGCGAGAGAAACTTCCGATCTCATTACTATGAGAAGGTTGGATTCAGAGGGGTGGAGGAGAAGAAGTCTCTGGAGATTCTCCTCAGTGAAGACCCTGTCGGTAAGAACTGATCTTGGTAGAACAGGTCCTGGGGAGTGTTTCACAAAGACTAAGATCGACTTTAAGTTGGACTTAACAATGGCATGCCATGCATGCCACTGGTTGCTCTCACCATTGGTCTCTCAATTATGATCTTCAGATAATATTTTTTCATTCAATAATAAACAAGAATCAACAAATGTAGATTCTGTAGATTTGTGACCATGATTTGTACATCCCCTGAGAAACCAATGCTAGGAACACTTTATAGAGGAACTAGTGTCATGAATGGCCTGTCATAGTTAAGTCCAACTTACAGTCGATATTAGTCTTTGTGAAATGCTCCCCTGATCTGGGTAGAAAAGGTCCTGGTGCAAGAAACCATCTTGATTAACTAACCGGATTATTGACCTGGCACC